TTTTTTTNTTTTTTTTTTTTTTCTTCACGATAAACGAGAGCGGTATGAAGCGGCTTCGACTGAAGATGTCGTCCGTTCGTCTTTCTTTCTTTTTCTTCCCCCGACTCGAGGAAGCTTCATCGGGCACACCATATGCGAAGGGATCTGGACGCAGCATCGCTGCTAGGTGTCCAATACTAGGTTTCTAAGCGACGCTTGAGCGCCCGTTTATCGTATCTGGCATTGCCACGTGTTCCCCAGATTCTCCGTTACGGTAATATTTCGATTCGTAAAAAGAGACGAGGAGGAGGGAGGGAGGAGAGAGAGGAGGGGGAGGGGAGAGGAATTAGTTTATTGCCACGAAGCTATGTCCGGTTTTTTTTTTCTTCTTCTTCTTTTTCTTCTTTTTTCGAGAGAGAATTTTATTATTACTACGGTCTCGCACGTTAATCATGGTGGAGTTAGAGTGCCGATCCAACCTCGTTCGTGTCATTCGTATCGAGGCTGCTGCCTCCGAATTGATTGCACCTTTCTCTTCGATAAACGTTCCGTGGCGTGCGCCTGTAATTAGGTTGCCAGAAAGACGTTCCCAGGTTACATGGAAACCTTGGGGGACCTTGATCACGAATTCAATTACAAATCGAGTTTGAGTAGAAATTGGCTCGTCGAAAAGTGTGGTATATGCGCGATAGGCGGCGTAACCGGTCCATCGGTCGGAATTACTGGACCGGTGAAAAGTTTTCCCTCGTGCTGCGGAGAGATATCGATGATGTGGGGAAAGTTTCGTGGCTGTTATCTGTTATAATATACCGCTATGCTCGTCTATTTTTTTTTTTTTCCTTCTTCTCAAAGTCGATACGATAAGAATAAAATGAAATAAACGAAACAAATCGATCGTAATTTAATGTCGCGATATGAAAATTGGTGTCTAGGGACATTTTTGATTTCGACTAAAGGCGAAATGATCTTCTGACGAAAATATAGGGATATTATCTCAAAGCCGACACGATAAGAAATAAAATGAAATAAACGAATGAAATCGATCGTGATTTAAAGTCGAGATTTAGGGACATTTTTGACTTCGATCTAACCAATCTAAATTTTTCTAGAACAAAATTTCTTCTCCTCAAAATCGATACGATAAGAAATGAAATGAAATAAACGAAACAAATCGATCGTAATTTAATGTCGCGATATGAAAATTGGTGTCTAGGGACATTTTTGATTTCGAGTAAAGGCGAAATGATCTTCTGACGAAAATATAGGGATATTTTTCGATCGTGCCTATCTAGATTTTTTTAGATCGGTCAAAAAGTCGAAATTTTTTCTTCTCAATGTCGATACGATAAGAAATAAACGAAACAAATCGATCGTAATTTAAAATCGCGATTTAGGGACATTTTTGATTTCGAATAAAAGCGATCTTCTGACGAAAATATAGGGATATATTTTTCGATCGTGCTTATCTAAATACAGCGGATGTGACTACTCAAAGTCGATACGATAAGGCAAAACGAAATAAGCGAAATCGATCGTAATTTTTCGCGACACAAAAGTTGGTATCTAGGGAAATTTTTGGTTTCGATTAAAATTTCGAGTGACGAAAATATAGGAATCTTCTTTAGGGAAACATCGTGTACATCTGCTCGATCGTTTTAAATGGAACGATCGTCCATTTAATTCGCAATCGAAGCGATCGTGTCCCGCCCCCATTCTCGAGTAAAGATTCCTTCGAAATCGGTGATTGTTCGTCGCGGAAATGAACGTTGTCACACTCTTAATCTAATCGATCTGTTCGTGTTGAATCGAGAACCCGTATCGTGATTTTCATTCAATTTCTTCAGGGGAAGAATAGTTGGGTCACCTTTTCCCGAAAAAGTGTGCATTCATCCTGAAGGAGAGAATTGAACGAACCTTCTTCGCGTTCCAACGAACAGAATTCGCTTGGTTGAGTATACAACGTGTTTCTTGATTAGTCCCTTTCCGTTCCACCTTTTTCGATCGATATTCAACACGAGATAAAATAGTCGATTCTTCGAAAATTTTTCGCAAAAAAAAAAAAAATTCCCTTATGCGTGCGATTTTAGATTAGAACTTTTATTCTATAAAAAAAGAAAATTCCATTCAATCCAAGATTATCCAAGATAACGAGGTTAAAACCAACGATATCGCCAACGTCATTCGTCGATAACGATCGAAGGAAATATCGAAGATCCATCCACGCTCCTTCCCCGATACGTTCAAGAATACCAACCATTCCATGTCCGTACCACACAGCCTGGAACAGCGAAAATTCTTCCATTAAGGACGATCGTATTACTCCCTCTGCGTTAAATCTCGATCGAAGCTCGCCGAGGGAGGGCGGGGGCGGGCGGCACGCGTCCGCTTGTTTGCCCGCCGGTAATGACTGAGTGTATAATTTACGAAAAGAGCAGAACACGGTCGGTATATATATGTATATATATACGGCCATTCAGGTGGATAAAACAGGGAAGGGGTGGGGGGAGAGCGGTCCCGCGGGACCGTGGGGGGGAGGGAGCGCAGGAAAGGAATTCCATCAATTCTTGAAGAGGAGCCTCGCAGGGGAAAGAATGGGCCGCGCGCGATTACCGAAGACCGCGCGCGCGCGCCGACTTTCAACCGACGAGAGCCCACCCCTCCGCCTCCCCTTCCCTCCCCTCGTTATTGTTCGAATCTCAACGCGCCCGTTTCCCCCGTGGTGGTAAAATCGTATTTCACATTACAAGGGCTCGAGGCCCTTCCTTGTGTTACGAGCCTTTCCCCCCCCCTCTCCCCCCTACTCCAGGAAGAAGTTGGACGGGAATCAAATATTCGTGGACGCGATAAGAACCGCCTTGCGTATCCAATATTGATCTGTCTGTTAAATCCGTTGTACTTTTTATGGACGATCGATATTGGCGTCGAGTCACGATTTCAGGGTAAATTTGTCGGGGAAGGAGGAGAGAAAGCTTTTTTTTTCCCCTTTCGTTCTTACTTCCGACA